ACATGTGAAATTGGTTTTAATTATATATCACTGTAGTATGTCCAAACTATCATTTGAACATAGAAACAAAAATTGAGATGATTTTACGTTCTTTTTCGTACTACCTCTTCGAAACTCAGCCTATATGTTACACTTGTCACACATTGCAATAAGGATTCCCTGTATTTCAAGTGCTCAGCAGCCACACGTGGCCAATGGCCACCCTAGTCAACAGCAAATATAGAGAAGAGTATTAAAAAACCCCATGAATTCATCACCCAGATTCAATCATCACTACTGGTTCCCTCTAAACTCCCTGCCTAACTGCAGATTATTCCAAAGCAAATGCTTAAAAAATTGTAACACTGCATCCATGTTCAAATTTCCTTATCTTCTTTTTTAGCAGTTGTACAGTTGCTCAGATTGGGATCTAAACAATCAATCACAAGGATCGCTTTTTAATGACATTGTTTGAGGACACTGATGTAACAGGAGCTATACTTTTAGTAAAATGCTCCTTCACTTACATGTTTCTTACACATCTATCTTGTGCCAAACACTGCTCTAGCCCCAAGACAGGACAATAAACAAGACTGAAGGGACTTGTGGTTTAGTTCCTGACTGCACATTAGGACCACTCAAGGAGGCTTTACTAAGCAAGACCAGTCCCATCAAAGGGCAAATGGATAAATAAAACATGGTATTAAGTACATCGAGGAGGTGGTAGGCAATAAAAAGAATGAAGTGCTGGGGTGCCTGGGTGGCTCAGTGGGTTAAGCCTCTCCCTTTGGCTCAGTTCATGATCCCAGGGTCCTGGGATTGAGCCCCACATTGGGCTCTCTGCTCGGCGGGGAGCCTGCTTCCCCCCCCTCCCTGCCTACTTGTGATCAGTCTGTCAAATAAATAAATAAAATCTTAAAAAAAAAAAAAAAAGAATTGGGGGGAGGAATGAAAGGAACAGAGTGCTAAAGAAAGAAATCCACATACTCAAAGGTCAGAAACTGAACTGGGGACTCACACTTTTTTTTTTTTTTTTTTTTTTTTTAATGCTGTAAGAGATTGAGTTCAAGGAGATTATTCTGGCAGAAGTGGCTTATGAGTTCAGCCTTGAAAGACTTGGGTTTTTCACAGTAAGAGAGAGTGAAAGAGCTTTCTAGGCAACAAGAGTGTAGGCGCAAAGGCAAAATGCTCCATTGCTGAAGAAAGTTCAGGCTGCCTGTGCACAGGGCTGGGGAACGAAGGGTGAAGGTGGGCACTGAGCCCAGGCTGCCAGATCCTGATTCTAGGCTAAGGGCTCCAGGTTCAAATGGGGACAGAAAGGACCTGGGGTTTCAGTCTCAGGTCCATCTAGTCTTAGCTGTAAAGCAGCCTCATCTGGAGTAAAATTTTTCCTACCCTCAACTGGGTATAAAAATAGTGCCTACCCGGGGCACCTGGTTGGCTCAGTCAGTTATGCATCTCAGGTCATGAACCCGGGGTCGTGGGATGGAGCCCCACATCAGGCTCACCGGGGGTGGGGGAGGAGGGAGGTCTGCTTTTCCCTCTCCCTCTGGCCCTCCTCCAAACACATGCTTTTTTCCTCTCTCCCTTTCTCCTTCATAAATAAATAAAATCTTTAAAAATGACAGTACCTAAAAAATGATCACAGTGCCTACTCTGGTGTTGCTCTGAGGATTAAAGGAATAACTCATCTACAGCACACAGGACAGTATGGCACAAGAAGTGTGGCAGCACTGCTTTTATTAATTTCATTATTATTAACTATATAAGCCACTCAGGAACTCTGAACAACATAATGACAGCACTTAAAGAATTCACCTGACTGTAACGTACAGGAGAGCCTGAGGGAGGAGCATCCACCTGTAAATAACGTTAGCACAGCGTGCGGAAGTCCCTAAGACCCCGTAGTGATCATGGTGCAGGGGCAACAGGAAAGGATCGATATGAAAGGTGCTGAGGAGGAGAACGCCAAGAACTGGGGTACGCATGAGGGTGGCCTGTGATTGGGAACTCAAGAGGGAATTTTCCAGAAGAGAGAGCTCAAAAGCTGATGAATAAGATGCAGACAGAAGAGAAATTCACAGGGAACTACAAACAACTCTCAATTATCCATGGAAGGCTCTTTCAGCTGAACAGCTTCCATCCTCCTTTGTACACACACTCCCATTACTTCTGTGGGTATTCTAGGTTGGAGGGCTCCCCAACCCTCCCTGGAGTACTCCTGAAATGGAATTAACAATTTAAAAACATAGCACTTCCAAAAAGCACATTATAGATAAAACTGGATTATTCAGACCCTCGTGTAAGGGAAAAACGTTATTCTACCCCCTAAAACTGGAATAGAAGTAGGGGGAAAAAAGGATCACAAATTCCTTTCCACCTCTATTTTGCCATTAGCCCTTTAGGTGGTAACCATGAAATTCTTATTTAACTTCTCCTTGCCCTCAGTTTCCTACAAGAATACAAAGAGCTGAAACGTAGTTATTTTACTAAAAGGCTGCTGCAGAAGCATTTAGAATTAGCTGTGGTTTCGGATTCTCCTCAGTTCTACATATGGAAAAAGAACAACTAGCTGGCTTTCCAGAACTTTCCTTAAGAGGCATATAGCATTACTGCATTCAGAATTCATTTACCATAATGGGTAAAACCCAACTGATTTCTCTTTAGATTTCGGTAAAAGTTTCAATGTAAGTGAAATTATTTCCTTTCCTCCTTATTAAAAGTCCCCCATACCAAGCCCACAAACCATAAACTCAACCACAAAAATCAATGGCAGTAAGAGTCTCAACAATTCAGAAAACTATACAACTAGACACTTGATACTAGCAGCGGTAAATTTACAGCCCAACCTCACATGCTTTTAACGCATCATTGACTCCATCGTTAACAACTAATTAAATCATGGGAACAGGAGAGATTTCGTACTGTGGAAGGAGCTAAAGATTCAGAGTCAGAAAGACTATTAACAAAATCTAGCTCAGCAATTTACTATTGATGGGGCAATTCTTGAACCTAGGCTGCAGTTTCTTGATCTGAAAAATGGAGACACCCTCAAAACACTGCCTATAAGATGCTCCTATAAGATGATTATTGAATGAGATAACGCAACCTTCGAAGCTTGCTAGTGTGTAGCTACAATGTAACTACTAGCTAGTATCGAAACTGTATCTCAATAATGATAAAGCACCAAATATTCTTTTGACTAAGCAATAGTTTTTATTACAAATAAGGCTAAACGTCTATCAGCTGTAATAGTGAAAACCATATTTTACTTTCTTGGAAGTGGTCCAGCACAACAGAAAATGAACTTGAATTTTAGTTCTGCCAGGATAATCTTGGGGAAATTGGCTAAACTGCTAGAGCCTCAATTTCCCATCTGCTTAGAAATACCTAGCTAATAGGGGTGCCTGGGTGGCTCAGCTGATTAAGCCACTGCCTTTGGCTCTGGTCATGATCCCAGAGTCTGGGGATCAAGTCCTGCATTAGGCTTCCTGCCCCATGCGGAGTCTGCTTCTCCTTTTGACCTTCTCCCCCTCATGCTCTCTCTCACCCTCAAATAAATAAAATCTTAAAAAAAAAAAAAAAACCTAGCTAATAACAAGACTATGATAATGTTTAATGAGCTAATCTATATAAAGTTCTAGCACATATCGATTTATTAAGTACTCAACCTATAGCAGTTACTGGTATTTGTTAATTTTCCCAACAGGAAAAAAAAAAAAAAAAAAACGGATAAATAAGCATGAAAATAAAACCCAGGTATCAAGTCACCTTTCTTCATATTTTACAGAGAAGTTCTTATTCATTTATTTCATATTTTTTTTTCTTGCATATCTACTGTGTGTCAGGCACTGTTTTTGACAGATAAGGTGTTTGCTTTCCTGGAACTTCCATTCTAGTGGAGGAAGGCAGACACTAAACAGCCCAAGGAGATAATTTCTGAGAGAGAGGAGTGCTACGAGGAACACCAAAAACGGTGAGTGCCCAGCACGCTGGGGGTGTGAGGGGGAGAATTGAAATAGTCATTTAGCTAGGGTGCATTTCAGCCCAGGCCTGCCCGGTTGGTGTCCCTTGGCCAGAAGGGGGAACCTCACCTTGTATGAGGCTTAGATATAGAGTGGGGATGATCAGAAGTCAGGCCTACATCTTTACCTGTGTTAGGATCTCTTTTGCAGCTGCAGCTTAAAATATTTATAAACGCCCAACCCAGTTCTCAAACTATGAGGATCAGTGCAATATCAGGGAGGGGGGTGATGGAAGGGGCCTCCGATGCACCTTAGCACAGTTCCCAGACACGCCAAAAGCGACAACTTCAGAGTCCCCGCAGCTCAGGGTCCCGACTGACACTGATGCTTTGTGAGATGGAGAAGGAAGAGTACAAGTGTGCACAATGTGGCCGGCAAGTTGCATTAACGAAGGACGGCGGGTTGCCCCGGTAAGAAATAAATATCTGGACGATCTACCACAATGCCCTGCAGGGACTCCAGAGGCTGCAAACGTTTCCTAGGGCGCTGGGACACCCAAGGGGCGAGTGCCCCTGGCGGGGAGAACCGGGAGTGGGGCAATCCGAGCCAGGGGATGCAGGCGAGCAGGCGCCTGCAAGCACGCCCCATCCCGCGGATGTGGCAAAGCCTTGCGCTCGGTCCAGTTTACACAGGTTTCCTGTGCCTCTCGCCCCGGCGCCGCGCCTTTTGGCTGCCCAGGACAACCTCTCCGCTCCCAACCCTCGGGCGCCCGGACTCAGGCTCCTGCGCTCGGCGTCTTCTCACCGTCAGTCCGGGTCAAACCGTCCCCTTAAGAGCAGGACGCCGGTCCTACTTCCCCGGAGCCTGGCGCCGGCCGCTATAGCCATCTCCCCTGCTCGGGGCTGCCCCAGGAGCCGGTTCTTCCCTGGACGACAGGAGACAGACGCTGCTCGCACGGCGACTGGTGGCGCCCCCCACATCGCAGCCCTTGCGAGCGCGCACCGCCCCTGGCCCCCACCACCCCAGAACCATTCTGCCGGGCGTCCCGGCGCTCACCTGCACGCTCCGCCGCCGGGGACGCCGCCTAGTTCTCTGGTGTGCGGCTCCGGGCTTCGTCCACAGACCCGGGAGGAGGCAAAGCCCTTCTCCGGTCCCCCCGCAACGCGCAGCAGACAGTTCCGTGCCAGCCGCAGGAGACCGAGGCGGGGACCGGCACTCGTGGAAGGACAGCGGGGCCGAAGCGCGCGCCGCGTACCGTCCGCCTTGCGCTGCCGTCCTCCCTGCGCTGCGCTGCCTGGCTCGAAGGCGCTGCGGCCGCGCGGCCGGTTCCCGGTACTTTGCCCAGAACTTCTCCGCGCGCCGCCAGTAGAGTAGCGGGAGGAGCTGCACGAGGGGCGGGGACGAGGAGGAGGAGCCTGTGGCCGCCCTGGGGGCGGAGCCACTTGAGGGGGCGGGGAGAACGGCTGAGTGACCACACTCTCTCCAATGAGGAGTCGACCCTGAGGAAGAAGGTGGAGCGACGCACTGGGAAGGAGCGAGCGGATTCCATGACGCTGTCATGGCAGTTGGAACTCCGGTTTCCGGCAGATGGGAGGGTAGGAGGGAGAGGAGAGCTGCAGCAGCGTCGCAAAGGAGCTACTGGCAGGCTAGCGCGCAGCCCGCCTGCCGTAGGAGCTTAATAAATGTTCCTCGAATGGCGTTGCCAGGCCCGGGAAGGAGGGAAGAGGAAGAGAACAGGGAGAAGCGAGGGCGGCGCGGGAGGAACTGGTCTAAGGAGATGGTTCCAGGGGACACACGTGCTAACAGGCAAAGAGGACTCGACCTCTTGAGGAAGTCAGAGGCAAAGGAGGGCAGGGGGACGTAGTGAAGGGAGGGTTGCAGGCATCGGGTAGCGACGGACAGAATCGGCGTGGGACACCCGCCCAAGACTGTGACCCTAACATCCAGAGGCAGTGGGTGCAGATTCGTGCCGGGGTGCCAGGAGAAGACTTAAGGGGAGAGTGGTCCTTTTGTTAGGCTGTTCGTGTGCAAGAGGGAAGGGAGAAAGAGCATCATAGTTAAAATTAAACTGCTGGAGCTCCTTGAGAGACAAGGAAATCCACCCGACTTCACTACTCACTCGCTCCTCCGCCTCCTTTGATCCTACCAAGAACGCAGCAGCTAATCACCTGCGGCTAGTTTGGAGACTGCGGATGTGTCGAGTGCCGCAGGTGGCTGGGTGGAAAGGAAATTAACCTTTACTCGGCGCCTACCGCGTGCATTTACTGAGCGCCTACTGTGTGCGCCTGGAACAGATGCGGGCTCCGCTTCAGTGATAATGGCACACCAGGTTCCTGCTCTCAAGGAGCTGAGGTTTTAAGGGGAAGCACACCATAAACAAGAACATACACAAATATAAACAAACGAGTAAATGCGATGATCTATGAGCACGGGGGTAATTGCTATGCGGAGTTTTCATAAGCAGGCATTGGGAGTTTCGAAGTGCTCTGAGGGTCTCTTGGCGGAGGTGGCTTCTGTGCAGGTTCCTGAACCAGGGAAAGGAGCTACTACACCTCAGTCTCCGGAAAGGCGTTCCAAGCAAAGGAAATGGAATATGCAAGGTATTTAACCTCCCCAAAGACCCAGCTAACCTACCTGACCCAGCTGCCCAACGAGTGTGGTTCGCTGGGCTTGGTGCTCCACACAGAATAGAGGCTCCAAAATGTTAAATTCACGCGCCGCTATTACTTGTGGCACTGGAGGCATTTCCAGTCTCCCAGCTAGCCCCATATTGAGGTTTCTAAGTCTCCTGCCAGAGCCACACTATTCACATTTAATTCATCGCGTTCTATCTTCTACTTTCTGGAACCATCCCTGTCGCGGAATGTCTGGGACTGTCAGTTTGGAACCTGGCAGGCTGCTTAGCGAGGGCGGGAGGATCCGGACACGCTGCAGAATGAACTCACTGAAAGCTGCCCGCGTCGCACACACGGAGAAACTTAGTGGAGAAGATCTAAAATCTAATGACTCCAAAATTCTTCAGTCACCCTGCCCGCACCCGAGGAACGCCAGCTGGAGGAACATGCCTGGGAGGTGCCCGGACCACTCAAAATGAATTCAAGGAAGCACCTTGCCCACGCCCAGACCGGAGTGCCTGAGCAGCTCAGACTTTGTTTTCCCAACCCTTCCATTTTTCGGTAATTCTTCTCTAGGAGAGAAGCTCGCTCTTTCCTCCTCCTCCTCCAAGCTCTTTTTTCTTTCTTTTTTTCATTTCCACTCTCCCCCTCCCACTCTTCACCCTGTTTCATTAGCATTGTTTGGTTTGTTGTGGGGTTGGCTTGTTTTTTCCTGCAGGAGACAAGCCTTTAATCCTAACGGAAGTTATTTGCATAGGATTTTATTGTTGAAACTAGCAAACCGTTCTTGGCTTTTTCTTCAATTTTTTCCAAATAACCAAGTGTGTCTATTTGTTTTTTCTATTTGTACTTGAAGCGGTTAATTTGACGGGAGGTGAGAGTTATTCATATTCATATTGTGCCTTGCCTCCGAGGAAAAAAGGAATTGTACTGTGCCTTTTCATAGTTTCCATTTCCTCTTCTCCTAAATAAGCTTCCAGGCTCACCAGCTCCCAAAAACAAGAGGAAACAAAATTAAAGCTGAATCCCATGCAGAGCTAATTATTCTTGAAAAATCTCATTAATGTCCTAAATTAGCTTTCTCCTCAGGGTTTTATTTTAAAGCAAGGACCCGAATGTCTACTCTGGTGGAGATCAATGGTTCTATAGTAGGAGTTTCTGAAGACCCTCTTTGAACTGTTGAACAAATACTTTTTCTCTTTGGAAACATACGCACCACGGTGGGAATTTTTCAGAGTTGGCTGAATGTTCTAAGCCTCTGAAATTCATAATTGGTAAGCAGATGTCTCTCAACTGTACATATTTAGATGGTAAAGGAAGTTGATGGTAATAGTATGTCATGATGGGGAAGTCCAGAGGCCTCTAAAGTCAGATTACCTGGGTTCCTGCCCCTCCCATCATGACCACTTCCTGATTCTGAGAGCACCATTCTCTGTTTTCTCATTTTCTTCCTGTGAAGTGAAGGCATTGGATTAGATCAGCAGTGACATAGCTTGGCTTATTTGCTACTCCACTCCCTGCCTCATGCCAGACATCACTGTTAAGTCAAGGCTGTCTTTCCTACTGAGTCTAAATAGGGCCTCAGAATCCTCCTCAACACAGTGCTTCCGGAAGCTATTACTGGGGACGCCTGGGGTGGCTTGGCCGGTTAAGCCTCCACCTTCAGCTCAGGTCATGATCCTAGAGTCCTGGAATGGACCCCCACATCAGGCTCCTTGCTCAGCGGGGAGCCTGCTTCTCCCTCTGCCTGCAAATCCCACTGCTTGTGCTCCTTCCCTCTCTCTGTCAAATATATAAGATCCTTTTTTTTTTTTTTTTAAAGGAAGCTGTTACTTATAGATTGGTATCCACATGTAGGTGATACAGAATTACTATGCTGGGGCTATATGAACTTCAAGCCACTTTAAGATAAAGATCTTAAATCATCATATAATTAGAGCTTCATTGTTCTAGAATGGTGACTACAAGGCAAATGTGATGAGAAGGAACTACAGTTCATCACCTCATCAATCCCTCTTATGAGGGAGGAGGAGAGAGTTTGTTCTAGCATCTTGTCTGTAATCATATAGCCTCTGGGTAATTAGAGGTGGGTCTCCTACCTTCTTAAAGTGTCCTCTTTCTGCCACTGTCACTGTGAATGGGAGGTGGAGGAAACCCTTGTCTGAAGCACTGATACAACCTTCTCCATCCTGTACCCATTTTTCTTCCTCCTTAATCTGGAATGTGAATCAAAGTATTTAGTCACATAGGAACACCTTGTCAGCATTCATTCACAGAAGTATTAGTCCTCATGGCGAAGGGTTGCACAAGAACTCACCAATTCCTCTATTAAATATAGATTGACAGGCTCCTTTGTAAAAGAATCCATTCTTAGCAGGCACTCTAAGAGATTCAAAGATGAATCAGTGGGTGTCCCTGCCCTCAATGCTTTTACAGTTTCATATATTGGGCAGATCAGAAATGGATATAAATAACTCCAGTACAAAGTTAAAAAATAGAAAATGTCCCGGCAGTGTCTGAGTGGCTCAGTCAGTTAAGCGGCTGCTCCCTCAGCTTGTGTGCTCTTTCTCTCTCTCTGTCAAATAAATAAAATCTTAAAAAAAAAAAAACCTTTAAAAAAAAGAAAGAAAAAATGTCCTGAGAGAGGTACCAAAAATGTATTTAGAAAAGGGTGAAATTATTTTGGGAATTGGAAAGAGTCACTTCCTGCATGTCTCTGTTGACATTTTTAACTTTCGGATCCAAAAAAAAAATTTTTTTTTTCAGATCAAAAATTCTTATTTATCACTTTCCACTTATCTGTGTAGCGGGAGTTGCAACACTGTTAGGCTTCCTGGTTTAGACACAGTTCCTTACTCAGATACTATCAGTGCAACTAAAGGTCACAGATCATTCTCACTCTCCTAGCATTCTTCATCAGATGTTGAAAATTTCTGGGATGTTCTAGAGAAAGACAACTCATCTTTAATGACAGCAGTCTAGCTTTCTCTCAAGCATTCAACAGCACCAGTCTTTTAACACAATATGCTGTGGGAGTACAGGCTATTTGTAAGAAAGGAACATAAAAGGAGTGAAGGGACACTAATGTCCTATATGATGAACCATGAAACAATACTTCCTTTGGGACGAAACTACCTCGGAAGTCAGGCTGAGGGACACCTAGGTGGTTCAGTCAGGTGAGCGTCTGCCTTCAGCTCAGGTCATGATCTCGGGGTCCTGGGATCAAGTCCCACATCAGGCTCCTCACTCAGTAGGGAGCCTACTTCTCCCTCTGCCTTCTGCTCCCCCTGTTTGTGCTCTCTATATATATATATAGTAAACAAATAAATCTTAAAAAAAAAAAAAAAGAAAAAAGTCAGGCTGAACATTCTATTATCCTTTAGGGACTCTCTTCATAGCACACAGACACCCTATAGTATTCCTTATGGTAAATATTAAGTATAATAATTACAGCCCACACGTATGAAGCATTTAGGTAGCAGCCATTGCTGAACCGGGATGCTAAGATTTCTGTCACTCCTGCCACCATCAGGATGCCACCTGTCAAACCAGAAAGACTTGGCAGGACTGCCAGAGCC